AAAGAAAAGAATATGAAAAACAACAGAGACACGGATGAAAAACACTTGGAAAATGGAAAAATTGAAAAACCTGGAGTCCGAATTCGGGGTTACGTGCAGTGTGGCGGCTTTTCGTGCATGTCGAACTTTTGCACCACAGTAAATTGCATCATTCCTGATTTTTACGCGTTTCACCTTACGAGATGGGTTGCAGTTGACTGTATGTGCTCCCAGTGAATAAAATGTGATGAAGGAGAGCAGAATTATTTATGGGCACAAGCGCGGTCAGCAAAAAGTACCTGCAGTCCCAATTAATGCCCGCCCCGTCCCGACAAAAAACAACTGAGCGGCTCGCCGTCAGGGGGCAGTTGGCAAATGGGGCGGTCCAGCTGGGCGGGCGTTAGAACTAGAACTTTGAGCGGCTGCAGCTCGCTTCTCGCTCGCTAAGGAGTCGAGAGAGTGGAACAGTCTCTAGCTCGGGGGCTGTATATTGCCACAAGGATAGGACGCATGAACTCATGAGGGGCTGTTCTTCAAAACGCTCGCGTACCGCTAGGTCGATACGTATACTTTCCAGTCGTTCAAAGTGCTCAAAATGCTGAAGTACGTTCAAAACGCCGGCGCAGATGTGGATGCAAACAACAAAGCTAACACATCATCGCACTCATCTGAACCCATTCTTAGGAGCAAGTATATCGAGAAGTTGCCAACCATATCGTAGACGGATGTGTAAACGGATTCAATGGAACCATTTTCGCATATGGTGAGTATACAATTCCAAATCATATCCCTAGCACGCTACGCAAGTTGTCATACTTTAGGCCAAACCGGCTCAGGAAAAACTTATACAATGTTCGGACCTCCCCAAGTCGACAATTTTATTGTAAATGCTGAACATCGCGGACTTATCCCGCGAGCCTGTGACGCGCTCTTCACAAAGTTATGCACCATGACAGCTGAGGTAGAGCGCTTATGCTTTTGTAGTATGTGTTTCTTGAGAAAATGATTTTCAGAAAGGAGAGAACTTCAAATACGAGGTGGTATGCCGTTTCGTTGAGTTGTACAATGAGGAATTCTACGATCTTCTCGGCGATTCACAGCAGAGGAACGTCAATTTCGCTTCAAGCGATTCAAATGTATCGAGTTTATTTATACCCAGCCACTTTTGTCCTTTCATTCAATAAATTCCTTTCAGTAGTGCAACTTCCATTGGCAGTGTCACGAAATCCTATTCAAGTCAAGCATCGAATCTGATTGAGGGTAATAATGGGCCAGTTAGGCAGTTTATTTTCATCACGTGATTTATAGTGAAAAGTTTGTTGTTACAAGCCGCTCAACATAGTTCTCCCGAGAAAAAAAGCATGGGGGGCCATCAGCGGGGGCCTACGAGCAGAGTACATATCCGTTGGGACAAATCCTGTAAGGGGGGATTGTATTCTGTCACTGAGCAGGGGCTGTTATTACGCCTTAAGAAAAAACAATTTTCCGACCGCGAGAGAAAATTAACCGGTTGCTGACTTCTCTCGGTTTTTCTTACGTTCTTCATATTCTCTGTCCCCACCCCACAGTTGCGGCACCCAAAAACTACCATACAATACTTTTTCTCGCTATTGTAGTGCATTGATGCTGATTGCCCCCTTCTCCCGCTCGACCCAATTTCTTTTTCATGGGAGGGATGGGGTCAGAATGAAACTCTTTTCTGAACTAGGAGAAGCGGTAGGAAGTTAGGAAAGGTCAAGAAGATGGTAGTTGGAGTGGAGAGGGGATGGTACCGGATGAAATGCGGTATAGGGGGTCGTACTGACCGACGTCACGATTCTTCGCACGGCGTGACACATTATGACACTTCGATTTGCTCGTCTTAACTGCGCTGAGCCTTAGCCTTGGACAGAGAAGTGCTTCGGCGCTGCAGTACTCTCCCCTTCCCTTACCTCTCACTCCCCCCGCCTACTCAACTTAGTAGAGGTCCATCTGTGTTCCTAGCTGAGACGAAGCTTCTCACCCTTGCCTAGTGGGCATTTTTTGACAAAGTGCATACCTTACCGACGTTTCGGGGATTCCTGCACGAACGCCACCATTATTCTACAAAGCTTACGGAAATGAACAGGTAGTCCAGGAGCTTCAAAGCTTAATAAATGTTTGTGAAACGTTCTGTGTAGATCTGGCATGTCGAGGCGCTGTTCGGCTGGGAGATTGAGGGGTGAGGGTTGGGGGAACTAGTTTTTCTTAGCGAAGCTAGTTCAGGTCACTTACTTGTACCGCAGATTTACAGGATTTTACAAGTCAAGTATTTGTTGACATGAACTGTCGAAGAGAGACTAGCGAAAGTGCAAAATGTCCTCTCAAGCCGAGCAGTACTAAGTTCTGGGGGTTAGTGATGTACTGTGCACGAACAGAAAGGCAGGGCGATTTGGATAACCAGTCTCTACTTGCTGCTGGTAGAGAATATACAGGGAAGTCAGGGAATTGAGGTGTCCTTACCAAGTGGTGAAAATAGCAGTTTAACGCTGTGGTGTTCATTTTGACATTGCTCTTGAAATTTAGATCTTGAAAAAAGGATGGGTCACAAGAAGAACTGGGGAAACGGCGATGAACCGGGAGTCGTCTCGATCGCATGCTATGTTCAGCATAGACGTGAGTTTTCCTTATTTATACTCTAGTTCGCGCTGGATGAAGGGGCGTGTGAGGCAGTATGAGTGTGCCACGACTGCCAGACCTACTCACCATATTTGAGCGGATGAACGACAATAATTGCTTGAAACGTGCAAGAATTGCAAGCCGTTTTATGTGGTCCATGATCTCAGATACCTTTTTCAAATTGAATTACATTTAAAAACCACCCAAAAACGCTCGAAAGCGGGCCGCTATTTCCTGCTGATGCGGACGCAAAACAAGACGTTAATTGTCAAACGTACATTTCACGCCAGCGAAGTCAGTCGTCTCGCGTCGCGGTCATTGCGCGCGATAGAATGTGGATTCCTGTCAGATGATATTGACAATTAAGTTCTTCTATTACAGAAGAACTTAATTGTCAATATCATCTGACAGGAATCCACATTCAATCGATCAACGCACGCCGCGCAATGACCGCGACGCGAGACGATGACTTCGCCTCGGCGGTGAATGTACGTGGTGACAATTACGTTTCTTCTGGGACGCAAAATGGTTTTTTGCCATGGTTTCAGATGACAATTGTTGCACTTGCTTCACAGCGCTGTTCTGTTTCGTCGTTGGAAATTACGTGTCGTTGGTCTTGTTTTCCTCGGCGCGGCTTTCAATTCGGGGTTATCTCTCTCCCTTGGTTACAGAGCCGAACGAAAAGGATTTAAAGATTCCTATCTAGGCACCCAGCGAGATAAATTGGTTCTCCGTTCGACACGTTCTGCCCACAATATTGACATTTGAAGTTCTAGACCCCAAACTTGAGAATTGAGATTGCTCTATGCTTTTTTTCTTCCTTATTATGCAACTTTTCTTAGTTGCAGAGAAAAAACTGCTGAATATGTGTGTTTTGCCAATGTCCCGTTTCAGGGTAACAATGTTGCCGATTTTTTTGTTATTACTTTTTGCGTCAGTTGCATGCGGTAATTTGCTGAGTGCAGGAATCCTCACAGAAACAGTTTCTCTTCGACCGAAAAACGTGAGCATTTTCCTTATTTTCCAATTTTTCTGAATATTGACAATTGCACTGTTTGTGAGAACTTTTATTTTTCTTTTGCACAATTTTGTTTCATTTTGCATGCGGTTTTCCATCGAAGGTTTACGATTTTTCGCTGCAAAAGCGAGACGCAGTGTATTCCACGATGATTAAAAGCGCGTCACATCACCTCAACTCACCTTCCTATTTCACCCTTCTCCTGCCATCACGGAATTACCCAGCGGGTTGCCATTGCAGGCGTTTTAGTTTGGCTTAAAACTGCTGAAGCTTCTCTCTAACTTGAGATTTTCTCAGAAAAAGGAGCTTTCTGCATTTGTGATGTCAATATCTTTGATTGAGAGTTTCGAGATCTAACGAAAAAATGCCTAGTTCTTAGTTTTCGTAATTGATTTTTGGGAGGCTGTGGGTCACGTCTTCAGAAGTGATTATTTGTGCTTTCCTCTGCTTCCATTCAACGCTGGTGCTAAAGCTTTCGGAATACACTTTTTGAGTGCGTAGCCAAGAAGAAATACCCCTGGGACGGGTCAAAATTGGTCCAAGCCATCCAACAACGTGCATACAACCGGCCCCTTTTGGTTTCATTTGAAGGCAGTTGGCACGATGATTTGGTGCTCGGCCTAAAATGCTAGTAGGGCGCTGTATAGTGGGGAAATGGCGAAAGAACGGAGTGAAACGGTCAAAATCCTGCGAAAAAAGAGCCTCCGTTCTCACTGTGTTAGTAATCAATTTTGGACGAGTTTCCCGAAGGCATCTTGCCAATAACCGCTACCGAAGGTACGGCTGCATATGTGTACTCATATATCCATGCAGCATCACGACCGCTTCATACCAATGCCTTCGCTTCATAATTTGCTTAGCAAATGAATCAATTAGAGCGTCTGGAACAGTCGTCCATTTGTGGGCGGGCGGGCAAGGGGGCGTTTGGGACGTAAAGTTGTGGCTTGATAGCGCCCTTATAAGGGCACCTTCCCTGGAAAAGGCATTATGCAGCGCCTGCTCAGGGTCGCGGAATTCCGTCCTGCCAGGCGTATTAGTCCTGCTCGTCTTGGAGGATTTATCGTGCCAACTGCCTTTAAAGGCACGTTCCGCGATAAACTAAGGCTAGGTTCTCATAACCGTGCACGACGGTCAAGCAGGCAACGTCAGAGGCTATGCCGCTTTTAAAAGTTGAAAAACAGCAAGCAAAACGCAGCGCGCTCAGGTTTTAGGCCCATTGGCGCCCGATAGGCCCATGCCGGCCTCCAGTGACCGTGTCGTTGTGAGACTGCCATTGCGCTCTCTCGTTTTCTGGCCTCTCTCGTCTCTTATCAGTGTATCGCCGCCTTTCGCAATTCACAGTT